AAATAGATCCTCTAGAAAAGAGTAGAATTCTTGAAGCAGAATTTATTGAACAGAATCATATGAACAGCAAAACAGTACATCACAGTATACAGAACAGAACACATAGCAAAGCAAGTAAAGAAAACCACAGAGCACACACAGCAGAGACACACAAAGACTGACAGAATAAGGTGGAGGGAGGCATATCTGACCCTTGTTTTATAGGTGACCATAACCCCTCCTCCTGTTGCTGGGTAACTTTGTCTTTTCACTTATTTGGTTTTAAGTTTAAACTATTTGTATTTTCCCAATTTTACAAATATCAATTTAATATGTTTGTCAGTGTTTTTCAACAATCCATGTCGATCTTACATATATTTGTTCTCTTTTTGATCGTCGGGACTTGTCTTACATAACTTTCTGGGTTTTCTTCCCAGACCTTTATCATCCATCATTTCAATTAGTCCTTTTGACAGTTTTATGGCCAAAGTGAATTCCAAAAACAACACGTCTAGTGCCAGGTTCAAGGCAGCTGTACACGGTATAGGTATATAGGTATATACAAGTATAAATGATTTCAGATTATACATGTCATCAAAGAAATCCACGACAACTAGACCATTTAATATTGTTTTTTTTTTTTATCAGTATGCAACCTGGTGCCTACTTTCAAGAAAGATGTGGAAAACCAGTCTAAACATGGAGTATATTTTCAATCAGAAATGTTTCATCTCTGAATTGTTGATTATGATGTTTATTGTACATTTTTATATATTCATTGTGTGTGTGATCAAAAAGAAAATGGTTAGACTTGCAAGATAAAATACTGCTTTTCTAAATGGAAGTCTACAGTCTTTGTCTGTCAAACATCACATCACAAGTCACATTGCTCTCATCATGTGACCCATTCTCACTACATCATCCCAAACCCTTTTTCACGCTCTACTGCCTCATCTTATGCTCCATCTCCTTTCTTCTGTCTGTTCTTTTGTTTATTAACTCCTGTTTTTCATGGTTTCTAATGTTCATCCTTTCACTTGGACCATTTTTCTCTCTCCTGTCCTCAGTTTTGTCAACTCAGAGAGACTCAGAGAGCAATATCAAAGCAATTCATAACCTGCAGGATGTACTGAGTGCAATATCCATCCCCACACCTCAGTGCTGCCAGCATCACACACTTCTTCTGTCCATCTCCCTCATATTCGCTGCTCTCTCAAATGCAGCAGAATGAGTTTGTGCTTCACAGGTCATGTTTTCTGTGTTTGCACATGTGCACACACAAGAACCGTAACCTTTATCACAGAGAGCTTGTTGTTCTTTTTCATTTATTGTATTTTATTATCAATAACGTAATACTCTCATAGACTACATTCATCACTAGGATATGGTTCCAAAAATTGAAAGTGATAGATTTTCTATTCTCTACTTGTTACCTTTATTGCCCTGTTTTGGACAAGTAGCTGTTGTGAAAGATTGTGACAAATTACATAAAACCAAAGAAAAATCAGATCGTGCACTGTGGAAAAAAAAAAAAGTATCCTATTTATCAGTTCTTAGACACCTGTGCAAATAAATGTGTAAATGAGGTTATTCGGTGTATTTTTGTTCATTTTATAACTTCTGCATTGTTATATAATTAAAAACTATAACAATATAATTAAAAATGCCAAAGTAACCTTTAGGAATTTATTGTAAATGCAATATGGGAGTTTAGCTTTGTTTCAAGTATCACTCTGATTTTCTTTTTTTTAAAGTTAAACTGATCTT